CTGCTAACTAATAATTAAGGAGATGGCTTTTTAAAATAATTTTATTGAATAAACCAGTAGGAAAAAACATTTTGTGACCAGGATGACTATCAAATTTAATACAGCTTTATAGCTGGGCACCTAATACAGACAATATTACTATCACAACATCAATCACACAGTCTCCAGTTTTTCCCTAATGATTTTAACATCAGACAAACACACATTTATGTTCCCGTGAGGCTTCTGAGCTAATCACAGCTAAAAAATCATAATTCTACCAGACTGAGGTCAGTTCATGCCATCTAGAGAAACAGATTTTCCTGGTGCTAGGACTAAATTCAAGCACTTTCCCTGAGTTTCCTCCAACTTGGCAGTAAATGAAAACAAGACTTCTGGTTTTCCAACACAATGCTTAATCATTCCTTGCTGGCAATGTACTTGATCAAGTCCACTACTCTGTGACTGTAGCCATATTCGTTATCATACCTGACAAACAAAGAGAATTATAAAAGTTACGAGCAGTCATTCCTTTCCGACAAATTCCGTTGTGAGGTGCACGTCGCAGAATTCCACGTGGCGCGCTTACAACAATTTTTATTCGTCCTCACAGTGGTCAAAATGTTGTGGAGTCACCAGGCGCAGTCCAAAATATCGTTGTCGATAAGAGTACAGACCACGTGAAACCTTTCTTAATTTGTTTACTACCACCATATCGACTTCAAATAAAACTTTTTTTACTATGCGTGACACGTTGACGCAAGTAGCGTTGTCTGTGCTCTCATCGACAAATTGACCAATCAGATCACGACATTACTGCCAACTGTGGTAAAGATATCTTAAGGAACTTCTGTTAAGAAATGATAGAAACCTTAGGCATACTACTCGTTGGTGAGGGTCAGATAGTAGGAATACAGAGACTTCCATGACACTCACAGGTGTCCCTCAAGCTCCGACGTTATCGTCATTCCCTCCAGAATTCAGACACAAGCATCACTGAACTCTTCAAGGACTAGTGAACCACAACTAGCAAACCTTATTCTAGAGCTTGTCACATTAAAGGGAAACACTTAGCGGCGAGTGCACCGAGCTACCATCACACGTCTCAGCCCAGAGTGCACTGCGCATCATTCAAGATGGCGGCCGCAGGAAATTCTAAGTGGCCGCATAGTTAATAGAGGGGACCCTCTATTAACTATGATTGCCAAAATAATCGCCACCAGTTTGTATCTGTCAGTTGTATAAATTCTGAGAAAATGAGACTAACCTCTAGCGTGCCTCAAGGTTCCTTGATGGGCCCAAGACTTTTCAGTATCTTTACAAATGATCTGCCTTAAACCCTTGACTCAAAGTTAGGAATGTTTGCTGACGACTCCACTGCCCACATGATTGGAAATTCCATCGAGTCCATTTCAATCCAAATTCAAGAACTCCTGCATCAACTAGTTACCTGGTCTAAACTCAACTCTATGTTCATCCATCCAGTCAAGTCTGAAGTGATGTTCATCTCAAAAACACCATTTATTGGTCCAAACAGACTCATCATTATAGATGATAAGCCCATAAATTGTCTCCAGTTCATCTTGCTTAGGAGTCAAACTTGATAACAAGCTCAACTGGGCTTCTCACCTTAAAATGGTTAAATCAAACAAAGATTTCCAAGTTTAGACAGATGAAGACCTTCAACCGCTCTACTCTGGAATCTATTTACTTGAAAGGTATTTTGCCAAGTGTGACCTACTGCATATCCCTGAGAGGATCTCCCAATTTGCTGGCTGACCTCGAGGACTTGCACATCCGTGTTGCCAGACTGATTCACAATATCAACATATCTACTCCAAAATATGAAGTACTCAGCATGGAAAAATGGATATCTCTACATTTTATGTAGAAGAGAATACTTGCTTGTATTGCATACCAGGCTTTCAATAACTTAGCTCCTGATGACATTGATAATTTATTTATAAAGCACAAAACTCCATATAATTTAAGAGATAATATAAAATTGGAACTTGTGTGCTCTAAATCCAAAGCCCTACATGATTCCTTTACTCATCGTTCTAGTATCGTTTGGAATCGTCTACCGAGTCATTCAAAGTCTAAGCCTAGTTACTCTTCATTCAAGGCTAACATTAAGAAATTCTCAAAGTGCGTTGACCAAATTACTTCTGGCACAATTCCTACTGCAACCAGTAATAATAGTGATGAATTTATATATACCTTATTAACCAAGCGCGAGAGCCGTACTGGAAGAATACCGGCCTGAGGTCTTGACAGTACGGACCGAGAGTAGCGAGGTCCGTACAAAAAAGACCGAGGGCCGATATTCTTCCAGTACGGTCTCGAGCAAGTTTGGTAAATAAGAGATTTATTATACGACTGAAGTCCAAAGGGACACAAGTGCGGTATCATTCAGGACCATTCGGGACAGTGCCCGTTCCAATAATTAGAGAATATTGGACCGGGAATAGAGCATTTTGATTAGTTGATTTTAGTTATTGGCCCTCTGACTGCCCGACTCGTGTTATAAATATTATTAACGTTTAGTTTATTATTTGTCATTTTGATTAATCTTCCTTTTACTTTCCAATTGTATTGTCTAAATTACATAATTTAATTGCAATTTACTATTCAGTACAGTCATCTCAAGCCTTTCTATTTATTCATGTTTTATTAGTATTTATAATTATTTTTATAACAGAGCTTGTAAATTCGTGCAATTAAATACAATAGCGCGAGTGTGCTTCAGTTTTCCATTGTGCACGCTGGTGACGTCAGCAAACAAATGCCTCGCGAAAGAAAATTTATTCTCGCGAGTGACTTCAACATTTTTCATTAAAAAACGGGAAAAACTTCCGCAAAAAAGTTAAACTAGACATGGCAACAAGCCAACAAGCCGATGAAAATCTGCCGCCTACTTCTTCTTTGGGAATGGATGTTTTAACTCCCGAGAAGGAACCCAGAGAAAGGGAAAACAAAATAATCAACGGTTTCATCTCGTTTCGAAACTCTAACTTCATTTCCACACATGAATTCCCCTGTCAGTTTTTGACCAATCTGAGACAAGATCATTGAAGCAAGCGAAATACTTTTCCGAAACAAAATAAACAACGCATTGAAGCGTAGGATAGGGAATTTCTGCCATTTATACATAATTTACAGCGTTGAAAATCATATACAATGAATATATAAAGTTCATATATTTTGAACTGCGGTTGTAGATACGCATGATGCACGATCCTCACAGTAGAGAGCGCTATTTATGCAATAGCGAAAATCAGACCTGAAAAAAATCAGGCCTGTACGGGATTCGAACCACTGACCTCTGCGATACTAGTGCAGCGCTCTACCAATTGAGCTAACAAGCCAACTGGGAGCAGGCCGTTAAGTTGATTCGTAATAAACCCGTGAAAGTGATAAATCAGATACAATGAAATATATGAAGTTCATATATTTTGAACTGCGGTATTAGATACATATGATACACGATCCTCGCAGTAGATAGCGCTATTTAAGCAATAGCGAAAATCAGACCTGAAAAAAATCAGGCCTGTACGGGATTCGAACCACTGACCTCTGCGATACTAGTGCAGCGCTCTACCAATTGAGCTAACAAGCCAACTGGGAGCAGGCCGTTAAGTTGATTCGTAATAAACCCGTGAAAGTGATAAATCAGATACAATGAAATATATGAAGTTCATATATTTTGAACTGCGGTATTAGATACATATGATACACGATCCTCGCAGTAGATAGCGCTATTTAAGCAATAGCGAAAATCAGACCTGAAAAAAATCAGGCCTGTACGGGATTCGAACCACTGACCTCTGCGATACTAGTGCAGCGCTCTACCAATTGAGCTAACAAGCCAACTGGGAGCAGGCCGTT